GCCTCTAAATTATGACTATATAAGAGCTTAAACCAGTTAAAAACAGCTTAAAAGCTGTAAAGCTTTTAAATGGAAGCCCTCGCTCTGTTACCTGTCAGCGCTCGGCCCCTGTGAGTGTTGAGGGGGCACACAGAGCCATGTCTGAAACTGTACCGTGAACCATGCAAGGACACCGGCTCACTGCAACCTGTGCAGATACATAGCAACACATCTTTAATTAGGTGGTTAAGCAATATAGTCATACATCACTGCTTCCCCAACCTCTGCTGCTGGGTATGCTGAAGGTAAGGACTCTGGTGAACACACAAAACGCCAAGGAAATAAAGACATAAAATGTGTATTAAGCAGTGACATGTCCAAAACCAGGGACACCCTTCACATCTCAGAATTACAGCCTAAACCTTGCTGCTTGATGGGCATAGGTGTTTTATCACTGTCAATTGCCAGAAACCCGGGAAATTGTTGAAACATAACTTTCTTAAAACCCTGAAGTATATTTCAGTGTTCCTTTAGAGGAATTGTTAAAATATCACCTAGTTTAGGCAGAAATACTGTCATGCTTACATTTATTTCTCTTAAACCTCTCAAAAACTCAGTGACAAGCATTCTCACTCTTTCAGGCGACTGAATGCAGAATTAGAAGCCAAAACAGAAAAACTGGTGCGTCAGGCTGAAGAGCTGATGGTGAGTATGTTATACAGACTGCTACGTGATTTAGCCTTGATTCACATGCACACAGGGTCAAGTTTAAAAAGAAATTATTTAGACCATGGGTACTAAAACTATTTTGCTTTCAAATGCAACGTAAGCTTTAATTTATTTTTTTTCAAAGTTGTAAACTTCTACTAAAAACACATAGAAAACTAGTTTTAATATCATTTCATCAGGTAGGTATTCACACAGATGCATAGAGCATTTGTGCAGATATAGACATAAAACCACATAAAAAACTTTAAGAGAAGGATCTGTAGGTGGTCTTCTGTATTAAATGCTAAATAAAATTTAGTATTTGAAAACCAGATCGTGTTGCAATAACCTCCTAGTGAAATAGGATACACATTGTTCAATCTGAAAGAAATACAAAGAATAAGCAACATAAATAGAAAACATGAATTTAGTAAGAAGGAAACTTTCTTAAAACAGAAAAAGCTCCTGTTTATTGTCAGTATTATCTTTTAAGATTGGTTTGGCTGTGTGCCAGGTAAGAGTCAAGATTTATACAAAAATGGGACAAAGGAATAAAAAGGGAATGGGGCAGGTATGGTTTATACCCAAACCAGTCTGGAGAAGGTGTTCTGCATATTACATATATTCACTGTAAATGCACTCATTCAAATAAATAAGGCTTAAAAAGCAAATTATTAATTCTTCTGGAAATCTATACTTATATGCACTTTTCCTACTGTTGAAACTTCATTTTTATGGCCTGTGAACATGCTCTTCTTTTGAGCAGTGACAAGCTGAGGGTAGCTGCTTGGCATTTGAACAGAAGCAGTTGAAACAGCCAAAATAGCATCTAGTCTCTTTCCTTTAGAAAACAGCAACAACAAAACCACTTTTTTTCCCCCTTCTCTAAATACAGCAGAAAATGAAATATTCTTAGGACACTTAATATACCACATGGCGGTACCAGATTGCAGAGATATACATTTAACAACAAAATAGCAACGACATTTTCATTTTTAGCCATCTTTTCCTATGTTTGGAAAGTTCTTTTCAACAGTAGAGTATAGTTTACATTCTTTTCCATAGTAGGCTGTAGTTATTGTGATCTACAAATGGGTAATTTGTCTTTAATGGATTATATTCCCCCCAAATTGACTACTTTTTTCTCTTTTTTTAATAAAGAAAGGCCAACAGAAGATACTATCTCGACCAGTTTCAGTACAGTCTAAGTCACCTGAAGATGACAGACAGAGGTATGTGCTTTACAACTGCTGCATATAATTGGTGGGGAACCCCACACTACTCCTGCACACCCTGACTTGTGCCCTAGTCATGCTCCTGTTTTATCTGTCTTTATGGCATACTGCATTGGTAGAGTCTAAATTTTTTCCTATCATTTGAAAAAAAATGATACCAAGCAAGTGTTGTTCCTTGTTATTTCAAGGAAGCCTAAATTTTGCTGGAATGTTCTTTCTAGGGTACTAAGTTTGCTGACCTCTGTAAAGAAGCAAGGTACAGTAACAGGTTTCTTTGTGGTACCAAACAGCAGACACTCAGCAGTGGATGGTTTTTAACAGTTTGGCTGAGAAAGCAAAGAAACAGATACTGGTTCGCATTTAACTCGGCCCAAATGTTCCTGGGACAGGAAGTGCTTGATAAAACCAAACACAAAACCCTAAGACAGGCAAACATTGAGCTGCCACCCTCTGGAACGTGGGTACCATTGCACTGCTGGGGCCCACGTGCCTTTGGCCTGGATGAGCACACATGGAGCTGTGGGTGTTCAGACCCCTTGGATCAGGAGTGGGAACATGGCTTGTGTTCACTTAATTGTTCAGGGGCATTACTACTTATTTAGTTCTTGAAGGGGTTGTGTACTCATAGTGTGGGAAGTGGGTGAATTTAGGATAGACTGATACACAGTTTATCAAGGATCCAATCAGTAGGTTCCTAAATTTATGATGCCACTAATCTGAAAAAGAAAGATACAGGGACAGACTAAAAGATGCCTCAACTGTTAAGCTGCAATTGGGAAACTTTTGAAATAGTGTATATGAAAGTCTGAGAGAGATGATCCAATAGTTATTTTTGTGCAGGATAAAAGCAGTGACATCATTAAGGAGTTTTTATGAAAGCAAAAGGGGTTTTCAGTACACAAAAAGGTGTGACAGCAAGTCACAGCTTCTGTGATAGAAGCCTGTCTACCAGAAAAAGTTAACTGCAGTTAAAATTATTCCTGAGCTATTTTAAAGCCATATCTGACAGCTGGGGGATCAGGGGGCAAGAAACTTAATGTGTTATCAGTATAATCATGCTTTGCAAACAAATTCTGGATCTCACTTTAGGTTTATGTTCTGTTAGATGGATTTTGAACATTAGACAGAAAATTTTTAAAAACTTCAAACTGGAGTTGAGTTTTAGGGCTGTTTTATGAAGTAATGTGATCAGAGGATCCAGCTCCACAAAGGGAGTGTAAATAGCTTTGATGATGCACATTAGAAATAAATGAGGGAGTGTTGGAAGAATTTAAAAAAAATACAATTAGCCTGTTAGAGTAGCATCTGATCTAACAATTACCTACATAAATTAAAACACCTTAAAGCAACCACAGCCTGTGTTCTGGTAAACACTTATGTGAATGTGAGGGAAGATCTGAAATCCCATGCTGTAGTGAAAAAAATTAGAAATGTGTGCTAGGAATTAGGCACACTGATTATCCATGAGTGAACATTGAGGCCATTCAATTAGATTAGTTCCGAGTACTTAATATTTAATTAAAAATTTTTTTCTTTCTAAATTGTGCAAGCACATAGGTCATAAATCTAAAGGAAGCACTTGAGATACATTTTTTAAATACCTCTTTGAAATTTCTATTGATTCCTTATAAGCAGAATGAACACTAAAGCAACTGGAAAGAAAGGGAGGAATTGGAGCAAAGAAAGAGGTAGTATCATGGGGGGGAAAAAAAAAGTTAAAAGGAAACACAAATATGTAGGAAAAACCCCACCAAATATTTAAGTCACTCTCCGAGTCAGTGTGTATTTTAAAATAAGTTGTTCCGGAGTTCTTGCAGCATATTTTTCTCAGGGAAACTTGAATTACTTAGCAACAAAGCAGCTCCAGTGACACCGCATTGAAATCAGCTTTTGTTTACACTTTCCCTCTCCAGCCATTGCCAGGCTGAAGGCGCTGGGAAGGGCCCGCGCATGGGCAGGCAGGGCCAGGGCTGGGCTGGGATTAGCAGCACAAAGGGGTTGCTCATGCACACAGCGCCTGTTTACACGCAGCGATGGAATTGTTCAACGCCAGCTTCTGTTTCAGGGCTGCCACCGTGCTCTGCCCACTCATTTGTGCACCTTTTCGGGATTTACACACTAATTTCACTTATCATACCACCACAGAACCGTATTACAGCTTTTGAAAAGGGATTGTCAGGTGTGGGGAAGAGGAAAGAAACCCTGGGAGAATCTGAGAGATACCATGAGGTCGAGTTTTTTGTTTTGCTTTGTTCGTTTGTGGGGTTTTGTGATTTTGGTTTTTTCTTTTTTTTTTTTGAAGAAGGCCATAAGACAACAGATACAGTAGGAACAAGTTAGCCTATTGATGGAAAGAACATCATTGTTTCCCTGAGTATAAAGAGTGTTGTATTTTCCTATTTTTGAGAATAACACATAACTGCTATTTCTGTGGCAGCAAATCCTCACCTTCTGCATGCTCCTAGAGCGAGCCAATAGGAAGGAAGCATGAGGAAAATAGGGTAAATAGACAAAAACTAATCATCCTATTCTTGAAGTCTGTTGCCAACCACACACAGATGATTTCTCCAGGTTTTTTTTCCTTTTTTGATTAATAAAATACAGAGCTTTGTGCAGATAATTCTTGTTGATGAGTGTCTGTGAAATTTTTAAAGGCAAGATCTAAACATTTGCTCAAATCAGCCTGGCAAAAAAAATTAGGGGACTTGATGAGCCAGAAATTTAAATTTTATTCTAAATCTTTTATAAGCCAGCATTTTAATTGAAGTAAAAAAATTATAAAGGGTAGTAAAAAAGTAGCCTCTTAGTGCAATAATACACATTCATATAGCTCATTTTGTAAGCAAAAACATTATATATATATATGACAAGAAACTTGACCTGAATATTACACAGCATGCTAAAACTACTGGCTTGTTTTCAACAGACTTGAAGAATAATCATTTAACCTGAAATTCAGTTGTACTAAGAAGCACAGTTTTCAGCCAAATAAGCAGATAAGAAAGCTGCTTTTTTAATTCCTGGGGTTTTTTCCCCCCATCTGTAGAACAGATACAATACTTGTAATACTTATTTCAGAGAAAATTCTGTGAGGCTTAATTTATATATTGCTCCACCTCATTTTCATTTGATAGTCCCTGTCAATGGACTTGGGGATAGGTGAGCTATCTCCTCTTGGGAATGTAGAGGACACTGGTTTGTATCTTCATTTTCTGTGTGTGAACTCTGGGATTTGTCTGTCTGGTGTGTGTTACCCAGGGAGCTGGTGGTGAGCTTTGGGAATGGATTGTCAGTGTCCCTTGTTGAGGCTGGTAACTCTGCACACTGGCTGAGCACTCCCTGGGGCAGGGAATCATGGATCTAAGAAGCCAGTAGCCTGCATTCCAAGAGATAAGATCAAGTGGCTGGTAGATAAGTAAACAGTTGCATTCTATATCATGGACTCACCAGGTGATTTAAGAGGCAAATGAGGTAGAATGGAAAGACAGCATCAGACTGAATTTATGCTTGAACTTAGGATATGTTCCCCCCTTAGCTATATTGTTTATTCTGGACATGTAAAATGTTATTCTCCTTATTCTGACAGAGAGGTTGAATTTTAATTGTGAAGTGTTTATTATATATGTTCAGTGAATTTTTTTTAATTATTTTTTTCTGCAGAGATCCACTCTTCTACTCCAGTCCTGAAGTTTCATCTCCTACACACTCACATGCCAAGGTATCAAAGCCAAAACTATCCTGGTTAAATCTTATTCTAGTATAATTTCCACATACAACTTTTGCTTTTGTGGCTGTGCTTCACTGGGGAATTCCATGGGTGGGAAACCAAAAGGAAGTGGTGCCCAAAGCAGTGCTCCAGGGACAGTGTTACCAGGGTTTCTCAGTGCCACTGTGGTTAAGTGGACTTACATCATGTTTGATTTTTGTACTCTAAGTTTCCTCTCCTATAAAGTCTTGATAGAAGTGTTCAGTGTTTAGAACATCAAATTAACAATTCCAAGTGCAGAATATTAGAACATAATTATTTTCCTACTTTCTTCTCTCCCTCAGCTGTATAATAGTAAAGGCAGTACTAGTGTCTTCTACATGTAATAGGAAACAATGGAAAAATGAGATTGAGATTAGGAACAAACTCAATAGTCTCTAATTACAACTATATTGAATCTTTTAGAAGGTGAGCTAAAGCTTCCAAAACACCATCTGCAGTTATTTATCAAAATGCAGTAGAAACCCCTCTAATTTTTGAAGGATATTTGGGTGAAAGTAACAGAAATATTGTTAGAACTTCCTTCTACAGGGAATTTATAAGATGAAAATAGTGCATAAAATAGCATATTTTTTAAGGTATGATAAGCATTTTTCAAATAAATGCACTCTGATGACAGTGCAATAATTAATACCTTGATAACAGCTCAGAGCCTTGCTTGTGCATAGATTTTTTCTGAGTATGTGTGCAAAAACTCCCACAAGCCAATGACTACTGCATATATTACAATTAGGGCATACAGAAATAAAAGTTGCAAGATAAAGATGAGTGCAAATAAAACTGAAAAGTTGTTCTTTTGGAAGTCTGAAAAGCACCCTTTGAAAAATGTCCTTGATTCTGGATATATGAAGAAGAAAGAAAAAGAAACCACCAAAAAAATCCACACTAGAAAAAATAATTCCTATCAAATTAAAAAAATAAATCACTCCTTTCTGAAAAATTTGTAGGTAGCAAGCAAGAAGAAATGTGCTGCTGCACCCACAGATCGGAACAGACAGTACTCTGGAAGTAAGGGAAAAAGAACAACTTCAAGGTATATCAGACATCTCTTTTGGTTTTCTAAAATCCTTTCGTTGCTATTTTTGTCTATCAGGTTATCTTATTCATGTATGCTTCTATATTTATATAAATAAATGTATCAAACTTTTGGTCCTCCTCAGTCAGCTCCACCACGTGGCTGTCTCTGTTTACTTGCACCAGAAATTATCAGTAAACATATGTGATTAATATTACAGCAGTGAAACTGCTGCTTTCTACTTCATCACCTCTCAAGGCTGACAGCTCAAGTCTCTAAACCCTTTTGGTGAAAGGAGGCCCAGTGAGCTGACAAGGGAGAAATACAGAAATGCAGCACCTGGGGCAGCCTGAGAGAGCACACTTAGGTCTGCAGGCTGGTGTGGGAAACATGAGGCCCTCAGGGGTCTCCTCTGCTCTGGTTAATCTTGGGATCTCAGGACAGGAGAGGGTCAGTAACACACCACAGCTTCCAGGGGCTTTAGGCTGAGAAGCTTCAGCTCTGCAGATTGCAAATTCAAGGTTGTAAAACCAAGAAATGGAGATCTGGTTGAGGGAGAAGAGTCAAGAAATGCATGAGATCCTTGGGAGCAAATGTGAACTGCCACAAGATATGGCACAATACCAAAACAGGGTGAAGACTGACTGCAAGGTGGCAGAACATGGACCTGACAGAGGCCAAGGCTGTCCTTCAGGACTTGGAAGTCAGTGTAGACCCTCGGGACCTCCCTTGGGCAGGTCAAGGCAGGGCTGTCATGCTGGTACTTCATGAGATTTGGAGTGGAACTGTGCAGATACAGACCCTGTGTGATGAACCCAGAGCTGTGGGAGAAAGGAGCTAGAAGGAGTTTGGAGGCTTCACTGGGATGAAGATATATTAGAATAATAACTTAAGAGCTTCAGATCCTCGAAGAACTAATGTCACCTTTGCAAAAAAGAAGGCTGAGGAGATACCCTGTGTAGGTGATGTGTTACCTTGTGTTTTGGTTTTATGAAAACTGATATGCAACTACTAGGATCAGTGATGTTCCCTAGGCCAGGCATCATGATGCAGAAATTGTAGCAAAGTAGGAGTAGAGCCACAGAGGACAGAATTCTACAAATTCTCTTGGCAGGGGAGAATAGCAGAAATGAAAACAGGATAGTATCTAAAGCCAATAGAACATTCCTCTGTTTCTTTCTTTTACTCTGATCTAGTTATGAATTTGTTGCATGAGAAGACCATGCCACAATCTTGTCAGTAGAAAACAGAAGTGGTTTCTTTGCCTTCTACATTACAGTATGTAAAATCCTGTAATTTGTTTATGTGGAATATGGTAAAGGTGAGATTCACAAGAAGAGAGAAATTGCCATCAAAGCATCTTTCATGCAAGTAATGAAATTGCATTAGGTAAATAACTGTACACTCTTAAAAACAGCAAATACATTATATTTTTGTTAATTTTTTTGTATTATAAATTTAAAATCTAGGGTTATCTTTTTTTTAGTTCAAAAATAAGAAACATGGAAGTGCAAAGTGCTGATGGTGTTGCAGTACTGGAAGATTGCATAGGTTTTTCTTTAACAAAAGCAATAAGCAAAGTTGAAGAAAAACTAAAGAAAGGAGTCTTACCAGATTGTCCAGATGATGATATTATTCCAAGTGTTGGAAACGAAATGGGAGCAGGTAAGTTTCCTTTCATGGTTAGTACTTTTAATCTTACTTTGTGACTGTTGGAAATGGGTTTTCCTGGAAAAAAAAAAAAAAGGAGTTTCTGTAAAAATTACAGGGAAAATTCTGAAGCCCTTAAGTTAAAGGAAACGGGAAAGAAGGTTTTTCCTCTTTGCATAGTCCTAGAGGAAGATCAGCTCACATATCAATGTGGAACTTTTGTTGTGGAAAAGTGAATTTGTATCTTTATTTCCACCTTTGTAGGGAGATGTTTGGGTAGTTACATGTGTTGAAATGTGGGGAAACAGAAGTACATGATGCTAAACTTGTATTTCCAATAAGATGAGATTCAGGCCGTGCACAGACTCTGCCTTTAGAGGACAAAGCCTTTCCTCAGACCAGTGCTGTGGATCTTAGAAAGTGGCTTAAACAAGGTAATGTTTCAGCTACAGTGCCAGAATGAGAAGCCTCCAGATCCTTTCCCACTTGAAATGGTGTGGTTTTGTCTGTCCTAGAAACAGAACAGGAAAGGGGATTGCCAGAGAGGCTAAAGGAACAATGTGAATCTATCTTTTTGGCTCTGGTGTGATAAAAGTGAGTTTGTGTGGTTCCTTACAATGCTAAAGCAAGGAAGAACTCAGAGATTCACCACAGTACCACAAAGTGCCTGAGTCCTCTCCTTTTAATCTAATGGCTTGATGTCTACAACATTCCAACACAGGAATAGTTAGATTTCTAACCTCATGTAATTCTGTGCACATCTGCAGTTACCAAGTCTCCCTATACACACCCTCAGCTGTCTTTTTTATAGTTCCTTCTCCTTGAACTAAAAAGAAATTGCTTTGGCTTGCACTGGAAGCTTACACCAAATCAATTCAAGGTAACTCAATAAGAGTTATTACTGGTGCCAAGTAATCAGGTCTCACTGACCAAGGCCATATATTTGAGTATTGAGAGTTGTTTCTGTAGCTTTAATGATGAAATGAAAATACTCTGGATTGATTTTTGCTTTTTACATGTGATATTGGCTGTTTATCACACTCTGAATGCCTCCTTAGTATACTAAATAAGCTATTGCAGAGCATTCCAGCATTGTCAGACTCACAGAACAGTTATGGTGTTCACAAGGAACAGATATAGATATTAAGCAGTTCCTGTTACAGAGAGGGCTGATCCCTCAGTGGGAATCTCCTGTAAGAGATTCCTTAGGCCAACATGCCTTTGCTTGGCTACTTAGGCCAGTGAGGTGACAAGGTTCTAGAGCATTGTCCTTTCCCTGAGCTTCTTGCAGTGCTCTTCCTGGGCTTGGGCTCCACATCTTTATTTCATGATTACAGGTTACCACAGTGCAGCCATTTTGCTGCCAACACAGTAGCTTACACCTTATTTTTCTCAGGTTATAACTCAACTCTGTGGTAACAAGCAATGACAGAAGCACACAGACATACAGAAGGCTGAAGATGAAGCTCTATTTTAATCTAATATACCCACACACATAGGAACAAAATACCTGAATGTATTGTTGCACTTCATGTTAATCTTCAGATTATCCCAGGAGTTCAAAAGGTCCATTCTTTCTTGTAGGGCATCACAGTCTCTCAAACATCCTTTTCTTGTTTTCAAATTCTCCCCTCACTTCCCAAGGCTGTTGGTTACTTTATAACCTAAGACCATCCTATAAAGGGATACTCCTCCCTCTTATCAGCTTCATCAGGTGACTAAAATTGACCAGTTAGGAAGCTAATTGTTTAATTATCTTTACCTCTTCTGAGAATTCAAGCCTATTTGGATCACAGGCATTTCCCAAAACTGATCTGGTTCTAGTTGTGCACTTGAATTTTCACAGGTTTTACTACTAAGTGCTCTTAATGACACACAGCTGACTAAGACAGAAGTTGTCTGTGGACTAATAGCTGAGTAAAAGAGGAAACAAAATGGTAAAAAGCAGCAGTTTTGACAGGTAGTGGTATAGCCCTAGAATGATCTGTCATGGAGCTTACATTGTTCACAACAGCTAAATGACAGCTGGTAAAGAAATTTATGTATGAAACAGTGATTTTAGAATAGTTAAAACTGGTGTTGAAGTATTGCACAATAATCTCATGGTACTGAATGAGGTGACAGAGTGCAAGTTTATATTCTGTACTAAAGAGTGCAAAGGAACACTGTTAGAAAACACAGCTCTCCAATTACACCTACTTCACAATAAATACACTTGAGGCATAACTCCAATTACACCTGCTATGGCTAATTATGACATTTCCAAAAGCGTAAACTTACTGCATGTTCACACTGGAAAAGGCAAATTAATTGTTACAAATCCTTCAGAAGATAACAAAACCAAAATACTGTACTATTACCATGCTGCTGTTATATAATGGATGCTGCCCCATGGTGAGTATGGAACATAGTTCTGCACACCCCATCTCAAATCCTGGATGTAGAACCAGCAAAGATACAGCTAATTGTGTACAGAGGCAATTAGAAGTGTGGAACAGCTTGAACTTGAATCTTCAGTTTGAAAACAAAACAATTAAAGGCACTATGAAAGATCTGTAATGAAAACAGTAATGGTAAAGGGAAAGCTGTCTTTCTGTAATGCAAACACTAGTAAATGCCACATTAAACTGGATTTAAAGCAAGCTATATGAAGTGTTTCTCTTTCCCATAATGCAAAATTAAATTAGCCACAGGATATTGTGAATGCCAAACTACAGTGTGTCTTATGAAGAAAATCAAACAACAATAGTGTAGAAGTACCTGAGAGGGGATTAAATGCAAGGGCTTTGATATGGTCTCCATCTTGATAGCCACCAGTTACCAGAAGCTGGCAAGGATATAACAGGAGGAATAAAAATCAGTCTGTATCTTATTTTTTCATGGAGTTTTCCCTAAATCCTACTTATTATTGGCCTCTGCAGAGTTACAGCTTAAGCTGCATTTGACAGCTCTTAAGGGAAGGTGGGTGAAATTAAAAGAACTCCTGTTGCAGCAAATGAACACATGTACCCATCCACTCTGCTCCAGATACTCCTCCTCCAATTTATTCTTTTCCCCTTATAACCACTGTGAATAATGGTTATTCCTGTGCTACTCAACTTGATCCTCAAACTGTTCCCATACTGCACGCCCGTGGAAGTCCAGGGAGAGTTCCTTGTGCATGATCTGGGGAATTGGAAGTGAAAGAACAAACTGTTCACACACAGCTTGTTTTGTCATAACAGTCCATTTCTAGCTGTCCAAGAGCAAGAAAGTACTTCATTTGGAAAAAACACCTGATTAAATGGATTTAATTTTAAATACTGTGCTTTAAGAAAGCATAGACTACTGTGTGGGAGGGGTATTTACCTATTAGTGGGCTTTGCAGTCGACATTGAATTCTTCTTGTGCTCAGTTTAAAATTACTTTGGCTGTAACTACACAAGTTGCAGCTACAGATGGATTGCAGTGCAGACATGCCCTCCAGTACAGTTTTCTTGACTTCAGACTCAAAAAATGCTGTAATGTACAGCATAGTATGATGCAAGTTTTCAATAAGTTTCAATTTTGAGAATTATGCATCTTTTGCTGTTTAAAGATGTCAAGTTCAGTCATCAAAAGAAAAAAATCTATACAAAGCTTTGCCTGAGAATGAGAAACCTGCAAAATCTTTTTAGAAATCTGAGTTTTCATTTGCCTATTTCTCTTTAATAATTGTAAACAATGTCGAGTGTTTCTAAAAATAAGAACATGAAAGTGAGTTCTAACATCAGTCTTGCTTCTTTTCTGCATTGAATAATGAGTACTTGTGGATATTAAATGTAACTTTTTATGTACACAGAAGCTCAAATCAGATTTCTGAAGGCAAAGTTACGTGTTACACAGGAAGACCTGGCAAGTGTAGTGTTTGAATGCAAGAAAAAGGTAAGAGCTGAATTTTCTTATCTGTAGAAATGGAGTAGGTTCCCCTTCAACAAATAATCACAGAATCAGAAATAATCACAAAAACAGAATTCTCTCAACCTTTCCTTTTTAAGTATTAAGAGCTGAGGTTTTATTTTTTTAAAATATACTAAGAACTTAGTATCAAGGGTAGTAATTTCTGTATAAATGTGATCTTGGGCTAAAAGCTTGTGAAATACACTTAATGAAAAAGAATTTGAGGTAGGAAAGAACCACTGGGAATGAAGACATGCCCCAGCTGCAGGAACACTGGTGCTGCAGAGTGCCCAAACCACCACTGCTGGAAGGGCAGTGTTACCAGAGCCTGAGAAAAAGGAGGAGGAAACAGTAGCAGTGAAATACAGATTTTGGTGTACAGACAAGAGAAGTGGTGCCCAGAGGCAGGTGATGGGATGAGAGGGATGTTTAGGGCACAGTGAGAAACAAAAAGCTTGAGGAATATAGTTGGGTGCTTTTGGTGTCATCAGTGGATAGAAGTGTGGAAACAGCTGATCTGTGGATCCACTTTAAGTGGAATGTTGTAATCAAAACAGCAGTTAGGCTTTCTTGGTTCTCAAGAGTACAGTTGATGCAGAGAACAATATTTGGAATTATGCATTTGGGCAGATCAGGTTGAACTTAAGGCATAGTGAAGCTACACTGGTATTTCACTGTTAGAGTTTTATGATCTGCACTGTCTGGCAATCTATTTTCAAGTGATGCTCAAACATCTCTTGAACTGTAAAACCTTAAATAGCTTGTATTTGTCTGCCAGAGGGATCCCCTCTGATTCATGCACTTGTAATCAAGCAAGGGTTTTGAACTAACTTTCAATTTTCCATAACTGGATTATTTAGTTGTGGGCTCTTGACTTCAGAATGCTTTTTTCCACCTATTCCTCAGGCCCAGATGTGATGATGACGTTCAGAACATATGGCAAAACACCTATATGTTTTCTCTCAAGCTTTTAATTTAGAGTTAAGGAGCAGGATAATACTAAATGAGTCTTTTGAGATAAGATGAAGAAAATCTTTAGAAGTAATTATATTTTGATATTTTAAATCTGTACTTTATTTCATTTTTACCAACACAGGTGCTTCTGCATTTCAATACTTTTCTGCTGTGAGCAGAAAGAAGTTGTTACATTTGATTTTAAAGACATTTTCATTTTCAAATCAAATACAATTCTGTCAGTAGCTATTGAACTTCATCATTCCATGCCAAAACCACTACAAACTTCAGTTACTGTAGCAGATGACAGAAGACGACCTTGTACTTGTTCTTGTGCTGCTCCCATAGCACTCTGTGTGTATCATTCTGGGCATTAGTTTCTCTGGTGTGAAAATAACTTTATTACGTTCATAAGGGCACAAAAATTTCATTTAGGCAAAGCCTTGAGGTAGATTCTGGGTTTGGTTCCAATTCACAGTCCAGTTGTTAAAAGGAAAGAGTAAACCTGTTTTAAATGTAAAGAAGTGGGAGTTTCTGAGGTGCAGGTGGTCCCAGGAAGCTTAGATAAAGCACATGGATTTCCCAGGTGAGAAGCTGGTATTCCAAGGGGCTGAGGGAACAACAGGGAGAGACTTGTTTTCACAGACTCCATTTCTGTGTGTGTGCCCTGATTTCTTTTTTGTAAAGAAATGAAGGGCATAATGTGTCTCTGAAATAAACTGCATTAGTATTCACTTATAAAGTTTCAAAGGTTATAAAAGAAAAATGCCTTGAATTATAATGTTTAATGTGGGATGTAATTGCCAGTAGGTCATGAATCGAATACGGGATTCACTGGATGTTAAGAGAATCTTAAATTTGAATACTTGATGTATCCTGGATCATTAGCTTGCTTTTAAGTCAAAACCAGATAATCTCCTAAAACATAATGGACTGGTTTATCAGTAATTATATTCTCTTCTTTTTCCCATAATTTTTCCTAATGTGTGCATTTAACTATTCTCACAAAAATGTCACAAAATATCTATGTCCCACTGTTGTTCATATTATTCCATAACACCTTGATATTTCTCAAAACCTTTGAGCTATGAGAAATTAAATGTTTTACATACTGTTACAAGACAGTTTCAAGTAAAAGACTGTAGAAAATTAAATGAAAGAAGTGTTACTGTTTTTTGAAGTATTATGCTGGTAAAATAGTGTTTTGTTTTCTTAGCTGTTGCCATGTAATTTTTAAAAACTTATCTCTATATCTATAGTGTGTATATTTTTACTGCCTTTTATTTACAAGACATTATTACTGCATTATCCTCCTGCTTCCTTGCAATGATTTAGTTGTGGGGTTTTTTTTGCTGTTGACTGCCAAACAGGATGATCAAAATCAGAATTTAGAAACTCGGCTTAAAGACACTGAAGAGGAAAACACGAGACTGCAGCGAACGATCAGCGTGCAGCAGAGTCAGACTGAGAAGTACAAAATGTTGTCACAGGAAGCAAACAAAAAAAGTGAAGGGTTACAACAAGAAGTCATTGCACTAGAAAAGGTATTGCAGATGTTACTCTCATTTATCTCACAAAAGGGAACAAACCCCACATCAAATCACCCCTTGCACCCTAGTTTGGTATGAATGATCCCAGTAGTGTTTGAATCTCTGTTAGTAGTTTTAGAAATGGTATTTTTAAATGGTCTAATCAATTTTTTTAAAGGAAGAAATAATATATTTTGCTAACTGCTTTTCTTCTGCTTCTACAATCACATATTCCTGTATTTTAAAATTAAATTCCTGTATAAAAAACCCACAAGAGACAAAACAACCTTTTTCAGAAACTGCTGTCAAAGTCACAAAGGAATCCTAAAAAATACAAGAAAGTTTTATTTTTCTGGTTTTAATTATGACTGTTAAAAAATTACTTCTGTAATAGGAGTTCTACTGTAAACTGTAGAACCTAGTGAACATTTTTTTAGAAAGCACCTGCAGCTTATATTAGCATGTCCTGCAGGTAGAGGAAGGGACGTGTCTTTGTTCTTGAAAATGGACTGTTGGAAAAGCAGGCACTGCAGTGTGGCTGAGTCCCAGTTACCCTGGCTGCTGCTGCACCCACACTGGCACAGTGGTGTTGGTGCCTGGGGCAGCAGATGGCTGCACACACAGCTTTGTTTGTTTGGAACTTAATCTTAAGGGCAGCATGTGTTTTTCCTTAATTACTCAGAGCTACAGAGGTTGACTTCAAAATCATGCAATACACAGAGTATTGTGTAGCACACGCAATGAGAATGTTTCACTTAAGAATTTGGGCAAAATGGAACACAACTTAGCCTAACAAAGTCTCATTATACCTCTGTTAGGCTTGCTTGTGTCTTAATGCTTTGTAGTTCTGGCATTTTACAACTCAAATGGTCTTCGTGGGCTTTTTGTGCAGATAACTGGAAGTTTTAAGTTTCCTTAAATAAGTACCCTGATGGTGATTCTGTCAGGGAAAATATTCAGTAGCAGTACTCACACTACTCATCAGCTCACAGTAAATAGGGCCAAGAGATTTACAAAGTCATTTAGTCCCTTCTCTTAAAGCATGACAGGACAGGTTATATCCACACCATCCTGGACTTAAGTTGGTTTGACCTGCACTCACAGCCTTCTTAAAACAAAAGTTTTACATTGATGGCAATTTCCAGCATTTCCTTAGACAGTCAATGCTGGTTCTTGCACACAGTCACAGTTAGAAAGTATTTAGGAAATGTCTGTTGGGATGAAAAGTTTATTCACTTCTGCTGTATCCAGAATGTGGTCACTTCCCTCACTTGTCTTTATTCTGGATTTACCATTCTCAGTTGCTCCAATTATTCCTCATAGGTTGTTTTCTAGAATTCATCAAGGTTCCCAACCAGATCATGAAAAATAGTGGTAGTCCTTTAAAATACTAAAGCAGCAAAAAAAGGCAAGTATATGTAATGAATGGTTCCCTGCTAATTCAGAAGTTACTTTACATATTTTTTATGCTATAAGAAATTATTTAACTGCAAAAGCCATGCATGTAAAAATAATTTTGCAGTAACTGCTTAATTCTCCTGTGGACTTAGGAGTCTGAAAACTGTTCTAATTTTTAGGTATGAAGTATTACTCAACACTATATAATTAATGTAGTGTAGATTAATTCTAGACACGTTTAAAAGCAATTTCCTGTGAACACAGGCCTGAACTGGTGCTACTGTGCTGCTAAACTCTCAAGACTCATACTTTCAGTCCAGAGAAAGTTTTCTGTGTAGTTGAGATAGCACAAATGTAACCTCTGATTAGGGGCCTTTTATTGCTTTTGTTGTGATTTCTGTTCCAACACAGATGATAGGAGACTTTGGCTGTGACACAAGTTTCCCCAAACTTCCCTATCAACCATTTGTGCAATTTCCTTAATCCCTCAGGTCCTTTTTTTGTATGTGCCTAGGCAAAGAGTCTCACCTGCTTTTCACAATTCACCTGAAACATGGTAACTACTTCGTTATTTTTACATTTAATTCTTTTGGTCTTTGGTCTCTGAACATTCTGCTGCAACACCCACCTCAGGCAGCAGCTGAATTCTGATGCTCCCAGAAACTTCCATCCTTTTCTTTCCAGCATTCCTCTCTTTTTATCTATCTAATTGATCTAATAAATGTTATCACCTTTCCTGTCCTTTTTTCACCACCAGGCTACAGGAACATTCCTTCCTCTGTGTTCTCTCACTCATGAATTCAGTCTAAGCTATAATGTTAGATAATGGTCAGGGAGACACCAAACCTGTACTCTTATTCCTTTTAAGGCTCTGTGCAGGGAGTTTATAATTTGCTTTAAGAAGGGCTTGATGTTAAGTAAAAGTTCCCTCTCCAATGTTTTTGGGGAGGACAGGTGCTGCAGAGCCTTCCTAAAGGTGGAGGTGCTGTGGATGCTGCTACTGGGAGGACAGAAGGCCACTGGGAGGGTTCCTCCTGGGTGAGCTCTGTGCCATCACAGCCCCTGCTGGCACTCAAGTGCCTCAGCCATGGCAGAGCAGTGGAGAAAATCCAGAAATTGAAATGGGATGCATTTTTCAAACATAGTAGTTTAACCCCAGCTCTTAGAGAAACAGTATATGAGAAAATTAATCCTGCTTTTACTTTAAGTATTGAAGAATTGGCAGAAACCTTGCTTAGTTACAAAATAAAACACTTATTTCAGGTATTTTTAGGATTAATACATTTAACAATATACCCTCACTGGATGACTTGCAAAAAAATCCTTGATAAGGTATTATGTGTGACAGTAAATGTCAAAAAGCCCTAAGAGAATTCTTAGAATTCTTTCATTAAATGATATGATTAGCTGATAAGTAATTTGCATTGCATGCAGACTATTTTTTTGGTCATTAAATGCTTGAAAGACTGTATTTCAAAGCTTTTCATATTAATACAGAATAAGATACATAGCATGAAAGATTTAGTTGACTTTATTCACAGCTCCATCATCTCGATACAAGACAAAGAGGTCAATTAGTATGTATTTCTTGGATAAATGATGTGGAAGTCTTAAATAACCACCATAGAGCAGGTGTGGAATTGAGAAAATAGAACAATTACTGAGGCAGTCTGAGGTTAAAAGGTTAACAACAAGGCCCCTCTCTCCCTTGATTTGGTTAAAAAAAGTCCTTCTGTGCCCATTACTAAATATTTGATACTTTAAAAAAAAAGTCAATTTCTTTTTCTGCCAGAATTGCTCATTTCTCTTACTTTGGCTGTTCTCTGTATTCCCTGATCTTTAATCTGACTATTCTGTTCCTCAACCTGGTCTCTTTTTCTCATTTCCCCACTTACAGCACTATGAAACAGTCAGCAGAGTCAAGAGGGAACTGTTTTGCTTGGTGCCATAAACACTCGATGAACTCTTTTCTGCCAGATGACAAAGTTACTGCCCTCAGCCATCTTCAGTGGGCTGCTTTAACTTCTTGGTTGTAACTGTATGTAGGAATCTCTGGGGGAAAAGAGGTAAAAGGAACAGGTGGGAAGAAGCATCTGGGAACACGAGCCACCGTTCCAAAATCTGCCCCAGAGTGGACATGGCAACATTTTTTTCTCTTTCTGAGCATACAAGGTTTTTCAGTCAGTCCTGTGGTCTTACCTGCTCAGCTCCATGATCAATCCAAGATAAGAAAGATCCTTTTTCAAGATTTCAAAGGAGAAGGGGATGTTTTAACAGTAGAATTGTCTTTGAGACAGATTCTCTCTGCAGGCCAAAGAACTCCACAGACGCTTCAGCTTTCAAGGGTGAGCCTCGTTGTACATGTGCTGTTGGTAGGAGATTCATTAAAACCCCCTTTATTCACCATGTTTGGTTTTATCTTTGCTTCTTAATTAGGAGCTGGAGAACCTAAAGCGGGTACAAAAGCAGGCCACAGCCAGTCAGAGTGCCACAGAGGTTCGACTGAACAGGGCCCTGGAGGAAGTGGAAAGGTATAAAGTGGAGCTGAACAAACTGAAGCAAAGCAACAAGGTACAGTGGCTTAGGAAAACAATTTCCTATCTGTGATCACTCAGTAAAGGTAGAGTGAGACTAAAAGCTTGATCAGCTTTGGAAGCATCATATCTCTTCCAGGCAGTCCCAAATTAACTTGGAGCAAGTCACCAAAGGCCTGGATAAGTTATCTTGGATGATGCTACTGCAAGAAACATACAGAATAAAGTTAAAGCCTTTCTGATTTTCTTCATTTGTGTGAAAATAAGATGTGTTTAGAAAGAGGGGGAAGTACACATACACACTAATACATACACAGGCAAACCAGGGCTGTTATCTTTGAGATTTTTTTTTTTCAAGTTTTAATGTGGGAATATTTTGATTAATCCCATTTCTTTTCAGAAATGTCATGGGTGGCTACTGTTCCTCACTTTCTTATGTAATGCCAGGTTTCACTGGCAAAAGCACCACTTTCATAAATAATACATTTCTCCTTTTCTTCCCTTGGCAGGATGTAGCTAACCAAGAACTCAAAACAATTGAAGAATTAAAAACAGAAAACAAGAAACTGCAGAAACAAAAAGGAGAGCTAATTACAGGTTTTAAAAAGCAGTTAAAGTTAATTGATATTTTGAAGAGACAAAAGGTAAGGACCAGAGTACAGGTGTATTTCAGTAAACAACCTCTAGCTAAATGTGTCTGTTGTCAAGTCAGGTAATCCTGGAACTGGAGCCCCAGGACTGAGAAGTTTCAATGCAAGAGAGCAGCAGCCTCACTTTTCCCAGAGCCTATTGGTAACATTTTGCATTCTAGCAAAGGCTGGTCTGCTTTTGAACTGACCCCATTCCTAACTAGGAATGCATCCTGTCATGGTTAAAGGTTATTACTGACTGAGGATATCTGTTTGTTCAAGAACAAACACTGTGCAGGTAGTAACAGCAACTCCCTTTGTGCTGTGTCAGTAGGACCCATTTGAGCAGGTGAGATTTTTTAGTTTTTCCCCACACACACATTATTTGTTGGATCAGCAGCTCTAACAGTGCCACCCCTCAGGAGTGAGCACTGCATTTTAGACCTGCATTCCTCCAGGGTTCTCAAAGTGTGTCCCTCTCTATGAACATTTGTTTCTTCTTATTTAAATTCTGAGATGTTCTGGACATGTACAGTTGTGTCCAGGTGCAGATGTCCTTGTGTGTCAGACAAAAAAAAAAAAAGAAGAAAAAATTAAAAGACAGAGCACTTAACCTAGGTGTGTATTTACTCAACTGAAAGAGAGGAGTTGAGCTCCATCCTTTGGTAATACCTGGAATATCCTGCATACTTTGAATCACACACAATGCAGTAACATTGGCTGCAAGGGTGTTCCCATCCACACTGCACTTGCAGCCTTACTCTGAAAGTCATTTGATTCTACATCCATTTCACATCTCCCTCAGGGCATGGAAGGGGGGGCAGAGTCTTTAGCAGCTGAAGCTGAGACTGAAGAGAGGAGAGGTGGTAGAATAAGTGCTGCCAGTTCATGCTGAATGACTGGTGATCCAGCTTCCATAGAAAGCTGCTATAGTGAGAAGGAGATTAATACTGCAGATGGAATACAGCTCAAAGTGTATTTAACTATCATATCCAATAAAGCTGTATTGAATGTTCCCAAAAGGAGGGGTGTTTTACTTGAAAAGAAAAACCTCTGACATTGCAGAGTGGGTAAATATATTTCTCAAAATATATTTTCAGCATAGACCAGTCAAATGAGCTTTGATGGTGCAAACTGAAAGAAATTGTGAGTTTACATGAAAGGAAATTAAAGTGAGAGGACTGTATACTAGGAGATGTTACCCAAATCAAACAATTTTCCACTTACTAGCTCCATCAAACCTTTCACTTACAAATACTTGGGATGTGTGCAATCATTTGTATCAGTTTCCCTTCCAAGGCTGCATGAGACATGTAGAGCTGTGGGCTGCAGAGCTGTCTGGACAGGATCTAAACACCACAGAGTGGGTCACCTCCAAACCCTACTCTGCTGAAACTCATGTCATTAATTTTGCCATAAAGTCAGTGCAGTTTTTGTGCTCTCAAACCAAAGCTGTAAGAGAGCTAAAGCAAGCACTGTGTGGTGGATTTTTGAGCAGAATCCCCTTTAAGAAGGGCCAGCCTTAGAGATAAGAAAATAGAACATTTTATTTACCCTTTGAGCACTGCAGTGATCACCAGACAATTTGTAAACACTTTCGAAGCTGTTGAGCCCCTAGAGGAAGAATAGTTCAGTATGAAATGGCAGCTTGAGAGAACAAAATACACACACTTATCCCAAGAACTGGGAATTGCAATATGGAAATACACCCTTGAATCTGGAATACCTGCCCAACATAGGGCAAAGGAGGACAGGTAACTGGATTAAGAGGAAGTGAGGCTGCTCATGCATTTCCAGTGCAAGAGAATTTTCCTGGCAGTAACAGGATGCTGAGGAGATACCAGGATTCACCCTTCTAGCTCTACAAGTTTATTTTGAGAAGAAAAACAATACAGCATTCACTCAACATATGTTCTATATGTGAGGCAGCTCACTGTCCCCTGGAATGTGAATTCACTGAAATGGTGTCACAGAGCAGCATTTCTGTTTGACTGGGAACCAAACCCAGAGTCTCAGACAAACATCACAAAACTGCACCAAATATATTTTTAAACAACTGCAAATGCTGTGCCAGAGCTGCAGACAGGTGAGGAAGCCACTTACCTTGTCTTCCAAACAAATGTCATTTACTCAGAGCAGAGGGATCCTGTTTGTTGTCCTTTCCAAACAGACTGGGACTGGAAGAACCTGAAGGAGATGGGGGCAGCCCCTGCCCCGGCAGCTTCTGGCAGGAGGCACCAGGGCAGGGCAGCTCAAGGTCCTGTGTGCTCAGTATTCCCAGTCAGTGGAAGGGCTTCGAGTCTGCTTCTCACAGGCCTTTTGTTGAATGAATGAGGAAAACCTGATCTGGGCTATTTGTGTCATATTTGTGTGGCAGGTTCAGATGCACAAAGCAGAGAGAGCCTGAAGAATGACAGAGGGGGAGAAATTCCTCAAAGATATTAAGTATCAGGAGGAGGAGGATTTGGTTTGGAATAACTTTAATGTTAAGCTGTGATCAATACACATGTTGATCAGCTTGAGAGAACGTGGACCAGTTTCCTTATGTGTTCTTCAGAGGTCACAAGTTGTTAGATTTTCAGGCATTTCCATGCCTCAGTAAACCTGAGATATTTTTAAAGCAATATAAGGAACTAGGAAAAGCTATTAGTCCTATTTTACTAGGGCTGAACTTAGTGTTTAGCATAAAATTTATCACATCCCTACACAACAAATTTTTGCAGAAAAATATGAGTAGCAGCTTCAGCTGGAACAAGTGAACATCCATCAGACCACAGTACCAAAAAAAAAAAAATCAAATTATAGATCTGAAGCCCCTTTGAGCTATCCCAGGTATCCAAGATTTTGTATTGGTCACTCACACTCTTTTACCTCTGCTCCTAATTGGTTTTTGTTTTTTCTTAAGATGCACATTGAAGCTGCCAAGATGCTTTCTTTTACTGAAGAGGAATTCATGAAAGCTCTTCAGTGGGGAAATTATTGATTCCATTAAAAAACAGCTTCTGTTTGAAAGACAACTCAGATGGTACATTATTTTGGGACTGTATATGAATCCTTGTTAATAGTCAATAACTGTATATCCCAGCGAATTGATTTTGTTGATTTTGCTTATGTTTAAATTGTTTAACTTTTGTAAGCCTGACAGCTTGGGTTGTAATGTTGTATGAAATACAAATTTCTACTGCAGTGTCAGGCCAAACTGTCCATTCTGTAACTAGCAGAGAAGCACAGACCGTGCAAGGAATAGTCCAACAAGTGAACTTTGTTAATCAGTTTGCTCTGGTTTAGCATTTAAAACAATACCTTATCTATGGTAATATTCAGTCCAAAGAAGGCAGGATTTAGTCTCAGAAAATTTCTCGTTGCAACAGAAATAAATTAACCAGTGATCCAGTTGAGAAGAAAATGTCACGTCCTTTTTAAAACACGTGGTTGGAAAATTGGCCTTGTCTGTTCTCTGTAACAGATCTCCCCTCAAAGCTGGTTGGTCTGGCATCTAATTTAAGCACCAACAGCTCTTTTATAGAAATGATCATAACTTGTTTTAGTCATTACATCTTCCCCCCTGGCTGGCATAACCACACATGAGACTTGCCCCTCACTGCCCAGACAGACTCCTTTAGTCAAGGTGAAAATATTAAACCTTTCCCTGGCCATCAGCTGCTGCCTGGGGATAAGTCAGGAGCTGTGACTATTCACAGGTGTTCTACAAGCACTAGTCATCATTGTAATCAAGAACTAGGTAAAAGATTAAGGGTCGATGAGCTGAGCATACCATGTGTACAGTAATGAACAGGAGCAACACAGGCCTGTGCTGCTTCCATGAACCTGTCAGACCTCTGTGATTCCAATGGATTCCTCCCTCAGGGGAAGTGAATAGGAACATGGCACAGAAAGTCAGTTTATGCACTGAAAGGTACAAACAGTGGTTCTGACCTCAGAATGGATCAATGTCTCTGCCTTAGATCTACCAGCAAAGTACCTCAGATCTACCACTTTGAGGAGGATTAGGATCATAGTAGTGTAGTGCCAGTACAGCCAAATCTTCCCATTCCCCCCACAACTAGTGCATGAAGAGAATCCTGTAGTCCATATTGGAATACATGTGTGCATTTACACCAGCTTGGTTTCTGCTGTGCTGCTGGAGAAGACATTTCTATCATTGCTACACCACTAACTGAGAAGAACTGAGAACTCAGGACAGTTTATTGATGAAAAATGTGCAGCACACATCTATATAAAACTAACTGCTCATCAGCTGAGAACTTTGGTCTTAAAATGGAGACTTTTAATGGTGTTAAAAAGGAGTTCCTCACTGTTAACAGCAAATGGAAGTTTTCATTGGGAATCAGCTGACACCTAGTGGCAAAGCAGGAGCTGAGCTGGGGAAAGGTTCAGCTCTCTTCTGATAATTCATTACCTCTTCTCTGCTGGTAAGCCAACCTAAAATCTTCTCCAAGCATGTTAATGTCATTTTCATCTTTGAGTATCCCCTGCAGTAATGGGAAAGAAACACACATTAGAAGGGAAAACTAAGTAGAGAGATTTCTGTGGATCTCTGCAATTTTCCATCAAGAGAATGGATAGTTTGTATCCATAATACCATTGTTACCTTTAAAACAAACCTGAAACTCAAGCCTGAAAGCTTGAACAGATGAGTTACAAAGTTGTGTAGCTGGTGCCAACCTAAAGCCACTCCTTTTGTTCTGCATGCACAAGCACTACCAGAAGACAACACTGAGCTGCATTCTCTTTCTCACAGAAGTGGTAACACCCAGCACAGCAGGTGCAGCTTTAGTAAAAATCAAGAAACTGCAGTGAAAAGAGGCCCTGGCTGGGCTGGGGCTCTGTCTTCCCCTTTAGCTGTGTTGAATTAGCTCCTACAAAGGAATAACTTGGGAAATAAAGTGATACTGGACAACTTAATCAAAAACTATTTTTTTGGGGAAGGGAAGCAGGGGAACCCAGAAATCTAAATTTACAATTAATTCTAAATTAATTTTACAGCTAAAAATATGCATGTTAATTCTAAATTAGTTTTACAGCTAAAAATATGCATGACCCACAGAGCATACCTTGCAGCATTTAGAAAAGAAAAAAAATACAAACTACATTTATATTGGAAAGTTGTAAATTTGGTAGCACTTTGCTGTTGAACCATTTTGAGTGAAGTAACGTGATGTAGGAGCACCCAAGTCAGACACAGTGAACAAAGCAGGACACGATTCGTGGCACACGGGTGAGCCTTGGACACTGACACTGCCAAGGCTTCCTACAACAGCAAATCCAAACCAGAAAAGTATATTCAAAATGTTTCCAATATGAGTTATCCTTTAATCTACATTAAAGTACAACTCACTCCAGATGTTACAAATTCCTGCACCAATTATCATATTAATGTTTGAATAAAAATTATACTCTGTTCTATTTACATTTTCCAGAATTGCAGAATTTCTTTAACTAGTGGGATAATTCCCTCCCTACTCTAAATGTAGTTTTACATCCCTATGGCAGCTCTGTTCATTTGTGCACTGTCAGGAGATCTTTCCAATTATGAAGCATAATACAAAATAAATGGTAGTTTATTCCTATTGCAATAACTGTTTCCATCCTTTTAACTTTTAAAAACACAGGGATGAACAGAGTGAGCTCTGAAATGTTTCTGTAAGCACTGCAGTTCCTTGCACTGCTGCAGAGGGGAGGCCTTGCCTCCATGCTAACTTGGAATACTTGGCAGACGAGCCAGAATTGCTCCCAAAACCCCAGCTGAGAAATGTGGTGGTAACAGGGTGTAAGATGTGGTGGACCCCTTTCTAGCTAGAAAAGCCTTGCTGTAGAGCTCAGGTTTCACATTCCAAGCACTGGATGTGCTTTCAGCAAGTCCTGCACAAGGCATCAATGCTGCCAGGGAGCCCAAAGAGCATTTCTGTACAGAGCTTCCCACTCAAAAAGCAAGAGGTGAGTGCAGGTGAGCTGACACAATAAGGACACCCACTGACTCCAGGAATTCACACAGTTCTGCAACTTCACCTTGAGCTATCCAAGAGAAAAGTGATTTCCAGGACAGACACAAAGCATTTACAAGACACTTGACTTACTCGAGGCAGATAACCCAGCAGTTTCCAGGCGTGCTCTTTCAGGAGTTTCTGCCTCTCCTCTTCAACAATTGCACGGATGCTTTCCTGTCTTCTCTTCTCTAACTCTCTTTCTTCAACTTCACGCTCCTACAGTAAACAGGTTTTCCTAAGTTCAGTTTGTGAACATTTGTTTAAACAATGTGTGTTTGGCAACTGGAAAACAACCTCAGACAAAAAAGAGGACTGAATGGCAGGACCTGGGGTGAGTCTGCTATCCAAGTGTTTGCCCTTTTGAAAGCAGATTAAGTGTCCAGTTCTGCCTTTTGGGCTCTCAGACAAGTTAGTCTGTTCCTGTCTAACTGCTCTAATCCCAGAAAAAGAGCAATAGGCATGAATTCTCATGCTGATGACTAGAAGTCACAATTCACATTACATGTGTGATTTATACCCCATAAACAAGGTCTGAAAACTGCAGTATAGGGTTCCATGACCTGTTTTCAGCCTACACCTTTTCTTCCTCAGATCAGAATTCAAGAGACTTAATCTAAAAGCAGGGCTGGGACTTCCCCTCCTCACACAGTGCAGCTGACCAGGGACAGGGAACTGGCCAGCAGTTGTTCCACTGCTCCCATGGCTCCTGAGGAGGTATTTGCAGGGCATGTCAGGTACACAGGGGTCCAGGCATGTTGTTGACCCCAACCTCTCAAGCTACAGAAACAGTTGGCTCTAAAAACTTTTCCTTGTCATCAAACCAAAGCAAAGGCCTGCTTCCCCCCACATTTGTCTACAATTCCCCTGTCACCTTTCTCTAATGACAGCAGCCACGTCCCTCAGGACAGCACAAGTGTTCCCACACCGAAACACCGTGGCTCAAACCAAAGGCGTGTGTGAAACTCTTACTTTGTCTGCAATGAACTGTCTGCGACGCTCCTCCAGGATTTCTTCCACAGCCTTTTTGTGCTCCAGCTGCCTCATCCTGCGTTTCTGAGCGTTCAGCTCCTCGATCCGATCCTCCTCTGCCAGCCTGGCCAACATCTGCTGCCGGAAGGCTTCCTCCTCCTCCCGCAGAGCCCGCTGTGCTGCTGCCTTCAGAGCAAACTGCTCTTCATAGGTTTGCCTTAACTCCAGGCGCTGCCTTATTCTCTTCTCAATTTCTGCCTGCAAAGGGAATTTAGTAAAATGCTGTGTTACTGAACAGACTTTGAAAAAATTACCATCATCAGCCAATCTACTGGATTTTTCTTGGAATGAATTTACTGTAGTTGTTAACTTCTAGCATAACTAACTGGAGCAAACATTCCATATCTGACAGGGTTCTCCAGTATTAATCAGTTTGGCAAATGTCACAAGATTCTCAAAATTCAGTCCAAAACAAAAGGAGATATTTTTTTCCCCCCTACTAGCACGAAGTGACTCAACAACCACTTTGGTATCTCGACCTGTGCTACATTTTGTCACCCACAGCAAGGTAAGACAAGAGTGTGGGCAGGCCCACAGGAAAAGCAAATAGACATGCAGAAAAAAAGCAGTTAATTAACCTCCTTAGCTTAAACCTGAACTTGAAAGCTACTCCTTCACAAGATAAATAAATGTATAAAGGGGTATAAGGGTATTCAAAACCTTCACTTGTCTTCCTGCTTGAAAATAAAACATAAATACATTAGGAATGGAAAAGGAAACTCAAAACCTAAACTAATGTACAAACTGCTTGTCTGATTAAGAACATTTAGGAAATAGTGCTGGAAATTAATACTTTGTGCCAAAACAGAATTGAAAACAATTCAAATTCATCTAATACTCCTAAAACCATGTCAGAATTAAGCCTTTTGCTTTGAGACAGCTAATAGTTGAAAATGGGCTCAAGGAGTCCCTCAAAACCATCCCAAAGCCACAAATAACACTGCAGACTTAGCAAATCCAAAGTGTGAAATAAAGCCCTTCATCTACCTGCCAGCACTTACCATCTCCTTCTTCCTTTCCATCTCCTCTTGTTCTTCCAGGTACAGCTCTTGGCGGATTTGTTCCTGTTCTTGACGCTTCTGTTGTTCTCTTTCCATAGTCTCAGCAACCTGTTACAGGAAGGAAAGGTTTCTAAATGAAAGACAAAAACATACAACAATTTTTTTCCTCAATTTCAATTTTTAATACCATGTTTTGAACTTTCTGTTTTTTCTCCTCAGTGTCTCGAACTTTAGCCATCCAATCATCTTCTCTTTGTCGCTGCATGTTGGCAAACTCCATAATTTTCCTATTTTCTTCTTCCATCTCTTCCTTTTTCTTTCTCCTCCACATAGCTTGTTCTTTTATATATTCTTCAATATATGTCTGAGTTTCTCTCACTTTATCTAACTTTCGTTGTTTTTCCCTGTAGAAGATGGAAAAAAAATGTTCAAATAGTTTACTGTTACTGTAGAGTAACATTAAACTGACCTCACTGTTAATATATCCCAGAGACTAAGATTTAAATGACTCTCCTTAAACATTCAGCTAGAAACTAGACACCTAAATTTAAAATACCTATTACTGAGCTGCTGCTCAGGGAATCTCATGTCTAACATCTTTCAGGAGTGCAGACTGTTCACACAGGTCCTCACTACTACTGCATTTTACACACACTCCATCAAAGAAGAGAAGAAAGTCCACACAACCCCCAAACTTTTTATTTACACTAAACTCTCTCTCACACACCCCCACACACCCCCCTGCCCTCAGAAACCTCGTTCCCTGTCCCAGTCCATAAGGCAGGAAAACAGAGAGGTGGCAAAAGGTGGCAGGGTAGGGACACGAGACTGACTGGAGCATTCTGATGTTTCAACAGGAAAATTCACACAAGTCAGTCTCTTGTTAGCAAAATGTTGCCAAGGAAAACTAAAATGGGCCTTAGTCTCTATGGAATAGATGCATACAAATCAGCTTCCTATACAGAATGATAGAAGTTGTTTTGTTTTAAATTAACAAATAATAAAAATTCATAGTAACTAACATTTGGTCTTCTTCATAGATCTTTCTTACAATCTCATCAATCATGAGCTTCTCTCTCAGAAACTCTTCATAGGCCTTCTGCTTCTTCCTCTCCTGTTCCTCAAGCTGTTTGTCCAGTTCCTGGTGGTACATTATCTTCTCCTGGTTGCGCCTCATTTCTGCAGCAAGTTCTTCTTGCATTAACCTGTCGTGCTCTTCCTTCATCTCTTGGGCTATTTCATCCTCCCATTTCTGGGGGGGGAAACCAAAGCAAGATTCCTTTTTACTCCCACTTCTACAACAGGTAGTGAAGAAGCACACAGTATGGAAAGGAATTGTGCTGCATTACAAAAGGAAGGTTTTCCACCTCAATCTATAAATACAGAGCCTTAACATGCTGAACAGCTTAATGCAGTCAGTGGCACCCTTGAAGGGAAGCCTCAGGATCTAACTTGAGGAGCAGTAAAAGTGCAGCCTTGAGCACCAGTGGGACTTGCTCACATCAGAAAAATGAGCAGAATGAGGTTGGACTGCAGAGAATATCCTCCCTACAGCATGTTCTTTACCTGCCTACACTAAACTCTGCATAAGACATTAACATAACCAGAATCACCTGCCTGATCACCCATATTATTCTGTACATCAATAAAAATTCACAATTCTTTCTGAAGTTATCCAGATACCTGTTTAACAATAGTAAATGTTTTCAACAGCTGGACTCTGAGGTAAGGATTCACCACAGTAAGCATTAAGCACTTACTGTACAAAGGGTACCTAGTTTTAACTTGAACAAATACTACAAATCTAGCAAAATAACAACTACAACCAGTCATACAGCTTAATTCATTACTCCTTTCACTGAAATGGCAAAGCAAACCTTTTTCTTGTAGTTAGTTATTACTGGTTAATTAATCCTCCATAGCACAAAATGTATTTTCAATAAAACTGAATGCCTAACCATTATTTTAGCTAAAAAGGTCAGCTTTGAAGGAAAAGTTTTCAGCACAATTCATACAAGGAGTTGCAGGAGTTGGGTGCTGGGATTCACTATGGAGCTAATTACCAGTTTCTCATCGTAAAAAGCTTTTTTTTCAGCCATCTGTGCATCTCGTTCTTTATTCATATAGGCATATTTTAGCTTTCTTTCTAACTCTCGAAGTTCAAGACTGGAAAGGGAAAAAAGAAAAATTTATCCTATCACAAGGAGGTAAGTACCTAGGGGGACAAAATTAAATTTCCATCACTATTAAACACAATTTAAAAAACCCCAACCATTGCTCTAGTTAAAGAGTAGAAAAAGAAAAAAATTAATTTTAAAACAAAAGTTACCTATACTTCTACACATCTATCAGCAGTTCTGCACACTTCTCATCTAACTATATAAGTACAGGTATACAGACATACACATGTGCTCACATATATGCCTAAGAGCATGTAACATATATGACATATATATACATATAGACATAGACATGTATGCAAAACGAACACTTTGTGGATCAGAGTTTTTTCTCGTGTTGAGAAAAAATTTGCTTAACATTAACTTTTATCATACCTTGACCTCAAAATAACTTTCCCTTCCAGGTCCTACTCATTTCCGATTCTGCTACAACTTCCCCAAACCACGGTACCAGTTCGATACAGCCGGGAGGTTTCCGAAGTGATACCTGTTGGCTCTGACTTGCTGCCTGAGCTTCTCGTCCTTCATCTTCTCGAGGTCCCTCCTGGCCATCTCCGCCGCCAGCTTCTGCTCTCGCTCCAGCTGCAGCGCCCTCTGCTTTCTGTTCTCCTCTGCCTAATCAGAACAAACCACCCCGTAACAAATCTCAGCACAGACATTCGGGAGGCAGGGACTGTGCACTTAAAGGCTACACCAGTCAGCAAACGCCTGCTGAAGGAGAAGGCCTTTGGCGGGTGAAGGTAAAGCCAGATGAACGCCCGTCCTCGGCCTCCCCGAGCGCCGCCCCCGCTGCTCTTACCGCCCGCAGCGCCTCATCCAGCCGCCGCTCCCGCTCCAGCTCGGCCCGCAGCCGGGCGGCCCGTTTGTTCCACTCCCGCTCCTCGGACGCCTGCGGGCGACAAGAGAAAGGCTCGCCATCCCGCTCGCTCCCTGTCCCGCTCCCGCTCCCCTCCCGCTCTCACCATCCCGCCGCCGTTGCCGTGGTAACGCGCGGCGCTGCCGGGGAACGGGTTCAACTTCCGGGGCGAACCGCCCCCGCTGATTGGCCCAGAGGGCGACCCGACCTGCACGTGACTCGGGGTGGGCGGGGCCAGAGCCGCATGACGTCACCGCGAGACCTTTAGAAGTTGATATTTAAGAGCATTTCTTGAATCGTTAAATTAATGCACTGGACTCACCTATAATCCCCACAAATCCCAGGTGGCGGCGTTTAGTTAAGAACTGCTCTAACTCAGTTTAAGCCCCTGTTACGGTGGGTCCCCAACAGGTGTGGGAGGTACAGGCACAGGCAGAACATCAACCATGGGCATGAACCACGAACATCACCAGGACAGACACTGTACACGATTCTGTAACGGCGCTTGGCATACGGTATGCTTTATTCAAACCTGGATAACCCAACCAGGAAAACCCAGCCCTTAATTCTTCTAGAGAGAGATCTTGCCTGGAGCATAACTGTTCACTCCAGAGTTTCCTGGACTGACTCTGCCCCAGGAAGAAAACCAACATTGAGGACTCCAATTCCCCAAGCTCTGCCCACCCACTTTCCTCACCTTTATTTTCCTTTCTACATAGTTATGTGAAACTAAAGACATTTAAGCAGTATTTCAAATTCATTACTGTCACCCACTTTATAAAATTAATTAAAATTAATGAATCTTAAGAGAAGAACACCTCTGAGAATTAGGTAAAAAGTCTGCTTGTTTGTACTGATGCAGTGTGATGTGCCTATATCTTATATATGTGGGATAAGAACACTCATTTATTTTTACCAGTTCCTGATCTTTTACAAATTGTCCCAAATTGGTGGAATTCTTTCTGATGAGTTGGTTACTCTTCGCCCTTTTAATGAGAAAAGTGTTTTCCCACAAGGGGGAGTAAACTACAGGAGACCAAGCCTTTAATAAGATGATACAAGCAGAGAGAGAAGAGTTAGAAAATGATAATAAAGTTTCCCTACTTGTTCTTTTCAAGTGGTGTTACCACTACAGCTCTCTTCCTTAGGAAAAAATAAATAAATAAATTCAACAGTTTCTTCAACAGTAGGCAAGGAAACACATAAATGTCAAAAAACCCTATCCCCCAATGATTCCAAGCTGTTGACTGAGAAAGAAGGAAGCTTTTAACTACTCTGGCACAGCAGTGACTTTCAGTGCTCAAGGTCTGGAGGTGGCAAGGCTGGGTGGGATAAAGGTGCAAAAGATGCTTTTGCTGCCCTTTCTCCCCAGTAAACAGCTGTGTGCCTCACTGGAAATAAATGGAATTTTCCTTCTTACCAAACAAAAGAACAAAATGAAGTCCACTCACCTCACTTCTGGAAATAACAGCAAACAGCCATCAGATGTAAAATGCCATCTTTGCTTGCATGATGTGCTCATTTTGGAACAGCAACACTCTAAAATGAGAGCACAAGCACACCTTGGTTCAGTCTCCAGGACAGCAAGGCACTCAGACAGAAAAGTGGGAGTAAAAATGCTTGAACAAAATACATACCAGAGACCAAGGAGTCAGTTCACAAAAAATTAAGAGATGGCTTGTATTTGCATATAAACTATTTGTGAGCAGTGTACCTGTCACAGAAGAGACAAAACACAGAACAATATCCAGAAAGATTCCCAGTGGAAAAATATGTTGAGGTTTTTTCTAGTCCTTGGAGCCTCATTGTTCTTTAATTTCCTGTATATTCTACATTTTCTGCAGTGTGCTTAAAATACAAAACAGGAAAAAAAATGCAACCAGAGAATTCTTTTATCCTCAACACCTTATGGCAGTTTGTGGTCAGAAACTCTTACCTTTAATGCCCTGATGGTTTTCCCCAACACAAATTAAGCCCCAGGGACAGCTCAGGAAACAAACTGTGCCTGCAGATTTCCAAAGAAAGGGAAGTAACCTTTCAGCACATACAGTCAGCCCATGTAGAGAATGGGGAGGGGAAAATACCCCAAAAACTTCATAGAAACACCTAATATACCCTTACCCTGTTCTCCCATTAAACTGAATACTTTGAGAGGGAAAACAATAATTTCCCTCAATTCAGATGCAACTGCTGGTCTCGTCTCTTCTTGAGAGCTCCTCCAGGAACTGCAGGCTTCTGTCCTAAACTTTGGCCATCTGTTTCCCACTGTGCTCCTCAGCAAAGAGCTCGGCTTAGTCCTCCTGGTGCCCTCCCTGCAGCAACCAGGGGCTGCTCCTGTGCCCCAGGGCTCGGGCTGCCCCTCCCTGTCCGTGCTCTCTGCACGTTTGCCAGGGGTGCAGGAACACGGGCAGTGCACCTGGGCAGGCCCTTCTGTGCTGGGCTGTCTCTGCACATCCCCTTCTCCTGCCCAAGGTCGTCCCAGCCGGGGGATCCTGGCCCACCTGAGGGGGAAGCACCTGGTTGTGCTGCTCCTCCCAGACGGGCGGTCACAGCCTCCCCTCCTTCGCTCTTATTTGGGAAAAGATCAAGCACTGTGTTGAAAACAGACCTACCTTTTCCTCATGTCAAAAAGCAGAGCTCCTTGATGACACCAGCTAATTTCTCAAAGACCTAAGAATCTCACACCTGCAGAGCAGAGTTCAGTCCAGGCAGAGTTGCTCCACTCATCTGAGGAAAGAGAGTAAAAATGCACTGTTTTAACAACCAGCTGGATCAGACTCCTTAGAAGTCAAGTATATTTACATTTAAATTTTCTTTATTAAGTTTTTAGAATATATTTTTATATATATTGAGATATATTAATATATGTATATAATGAAATATCTACTTTACCATAGTTTGGAAAGGAATGAGTCTCAAATGCCATCAAACTCTTGTTCCATACTGCATTTCTTCTTGCAGCAGCCTGGTTACAGCTCACAAGTCAGTGATCTGCTTCTCATTCCTTTTTCCTAAGGGCATTAAACACTTTCAGGACCTGAAAAGCTTCAGGTGACCAGCAACCCACTGTACAAATGTAGAGTTAAACTCAGCAGTCCTTTCTCAGGGTTAACACAGCATCTTAGTAAATGAACCAGTTCTCAGTATCAGCACCCACTGAGGAGCTCCCAACAGCAGAAGCAAAGACTGCTGAGGAATGCTAATGATAAAACCCATGGAATGGAGCTTTAAGGGGAAAAAGTAAGTTCCCTTTATTTAGCAGTTTAACTGAAGGTGATGCAGGAGCACACAGCAGAAAAGGTCATTAAATGAAAGTGGTGAAGCCATTTTGCAGGTTTACCTCTTTTCTAGGGCGTTTTACCAGATGATCATAACAGGAGACAGTGACAAATGCGTTCCAGCTGAGATAAGATATGTAGGTCATGCTGACTTTGCAACATTATAAACCACTATTGGGGATAACACAGCTTCTCTGTGAGGTAATTTACCTTCTTTGGATGAAAAGATAAATGTGAATTAACAGGGAAGAGTCTGAAACATCTGAGCTGTGCTATTGATCTACTAAAGACCTAGATAAGTCACAGAGAAACTAATGCTTGCTTTGCTTGAGAGTAGTGATGGATGGGAGAGCAGATTTAGCAGCTAAGGGGCTATCACTGTCAACAAAGTCTTAGCACTAATTTTTTTTTTTTAATTATCCTGGAGTAGTAGGGAAATATGTCCCATAGCAGCAGTAGGCAGAAGTGATCTTTTACTCATGACATTATGGACTGTAAACAAAAATATTAAATGAAACAAAAATACTCAGTGCTTCAAATGTGTTCAACAAAAACACATCTGTTCCTGATGAGCCAAATGTGAGTTTAATAATTATTTAGCTGTAGGACTGAGTTTTGTTTTCCTGTGTGTTTGGCACCACATTTGGTGATTTGAAAACAATTAGAGAGCCATGTCCACTGTGCTCTTTTTAATTCAACTAGCAAATGCTGGGGAGAATACAATTGCTTTCTGCACCAGGCTTTCTGCTTCACCTCTAATAATTTGTTTTAAGCATATGATCTAGGTACAGCAAATAGATTTCTTCTACATAAAGAATGGTGTAAAACTAATCCTGTGATGACACTTCTGTTTTTGCAGCAAGATTTTTACCCCTCTATCTATCCTAACCAAACTCTTGTTCCCCGTGAAGCAGAAGAGAGATCATAAATTCAAGCAAAAGGACTGAGTTCTTAGGAAAGTGAATGGTGATGATTTTAGCAGAGAATCTAAATGTTTATGGGTATAAAAGTTCTGTTTGTAAAAGGTTTTAAAAGAAGTTGTATCTATTTTCTCAGGTGTGATACAATTATACCTCAAAAGTGCCCCTCAAAATAACAAGCTTCATTTGTAGCTTTTAAATTGGAAGCAAAGATTTAATTCCTACAAGATACCACCAAACACAATTAATCCCAAAGAGTTCAGTTTAACTTTAGTGAATAATTAAAAAGCTGAGGAGCTCCAAAGGGGAGCTCAGCAAAGTGCAGAAAACTGGGAAGAAAGATGCCATTGGCAAACAACAGAGTATTAAACAAACTAATCTGTAACCATAACCTTAAGCCAACCAACGGAAAGGGCAACTGAAGGGCAATAACAGAAAACAAACATCAGTCCCAGAAAGGGCTGAGAGCAATGTGAAAGTCGTTCTGCTGCCTGCATCCATCTCTCACCCTGGCACTTCCCCCTGCCCGGCAGCCTTGGCAGAGCCCCGTGATGAGCCCCAGGCTGGTGGAGGCTCTGCTTCCCTGCCCCACATGGGGATGTGTCTGGAGGAGTCCTGGGGCATGTTTAGTAAAATCCCTGTTGTTTTATTCAAGAGCTTTTAGAGAAGAGAAGAGCACACAGCAGTTACTGATACATTTTGGTGCTGATAAAACAGGAATTTTGTGCTCCAACGAAAATTCATCAGTGAAATGGTGAATTGCCTCTGCATTGCTGTGGACCAGACAAAGCCCACGGATTCCTGTGTGAAGCATTCCCAGTCCCTCACCTTCCATCATGGTTCACTTTCTGGGGCCCTGCATGCCAGGTGTGTCCCAAGGGCACAGCGATGTGTGGCACTGCATAGCTGGGGGATCACAGCACAGCTGTGGCTGCAGACAGGCAGGGAGAGGCCTTTTCCAGTGGCTGTGGCTCTGTGCCACGCTCCCTGCTGCTCTGCACACCTGGGATCTGCTGCCCAAAAGTAGGGCTCACCCAGTCCTGAGAGCTGGCTTTGCCCTGCACCTCACAGCTGCTCTCTCACTAGTCTCTTCCCTCTGCTCTCACTTGGAGCAGAGCACCTGGATGGTCACTCATCTGTGCAGGAACCTTTGGCAGCTTTTCCCCAAAGCAGCGTGTGCTCTTGCTCAGCACTTGCTCTGGCAGCACCAAGGGGACCCAAAAATGCCCAGTGTTTCCCTAAGCCAGGGCTGACACACAGGTAATTCATCTGCCCTCCCTCAAATTGTCATAATTATATTCACAGCATCACAGAGTGGGTCAGGTTGGAAGGGAGCACAGTGGGTCATCTGGTCCAAGCTCCCTGCTCAGGCAGGGTCATCCCAGAGCACATGGCACAGGATTGCATGCAGATATCCCATGTACTCTATTCCTAACTCTGACCTTCACAGTGTCCTTCAGAAATGAGGAAGTGCCTGTGCCACACTGCAGGCAGCTGCCTGCTCAGGGTTGGACTGGCACAGTCTTACCCACAGGCTCTGCTGTGCATCAGTCCCTGTGTCTGCTTCAAAGTGCTCATGTAAGCCAAGCTCACTGTTAGTACCAAGATGATTCCAGAGTAGGTACAGAGGCACCAGCTGATTCTGGTTTCAGAGCTACTGCAGGAAAGCATCTCCATGTCTCCACTGAGAAGAGGGAGAAAGTCCTCTCATTTCACTGAGAAAATTCCAGGTCATCATATAGAACTTTTAACACACATGTTACAGTTAACTACAGAGTTTGGCTCTGTGCTTATGCCCTGCAAAATAAGGAACCTAGTTCTGAAATAAACAGTTGCACTGAAATTATATTTCTAGACTCCAGAAATCAAACCTAATCTAATTTGCTCCAGCTGGACACCACCTGCAGAGTACTGTTTAAGTACTCTGAACATTACGCACTTATCTTTTAAATATTGATAATGCCATTTTTCATTTATGTGACATGAAGTCCCACAGGGAATAATTATGCTAATAAACCTTAATGATTCTTGCAAATAAATGATCAAACAAAATTGCTACTGTTGATTTATATTAATGGATGCCTTTAGGAGGAGATTTGTCAGGATGTGCTGCTTCTTGAATCCCAATTCATCTTATTTAGCAGAAGAATGTACATAGTTTGTAAAACAGATTAAGTGTTTAAAATATAATGTGTTCATGCAGTTTCTGGAGTTCATAACATTCAGGCACTATTATCCTGCCTTATGGCAAATCTGCATTAAATGGCTTCTTTGTATACAACTTTTGTCAGTCCTTCCCCCCACCCTCCTTTTGTCCCTTGTGGTCAAAAATGTCCTCCTTTGGAAGATTTCTAACTTAACCTTTCTGTCACTCATTCAACAATCACTTGGCTGTCCTAACAGAAGAACACTGCTGTTGAGCAACTTCAGTTTCACTGTGATGAGTCTAGAAACATTCTTGGTGCTTTAATAAGGACACACCACCTGAAGCTGGTGACCTGCAGAATTTTATGGGCTGTGTGGAGATGAGCAGTTTCTACTCTTCTTCCACTGCCAGATATGCTGGAAATTCTCACTCCCAACCACCCACTTTTGAAATTGTAACCAAGTTCATTTGGAAAACATCTTACATGGGCTTGCCTTTTAGATAACATGTATGTTTGAAAGCAATACCAATGTGCTTCTTTTACTCCTGGATATAGGTAGGACGTAATTTAAAAGTATCACAGGAGAGGAAGCTAAGGAAATAAGAGGAGAAGGAACTTTGAGTTTATGAATTTAAACTATAGTGGTGGTAGAAGAAGAGAATAAGCACATGCTTTGTCTTATCAGCAAAACACACAGATACAAGTACAAGGTGGTGGTGGATCAGGGTTAGAACCAGGCAGGGAGCTAAGCAGAAGTGTGCTTGCTCTGCCTCTGCAATACTCTGTGCCCAGTGTGAGAGTTGTACAAGTTGCCTTAATTCTTTGCTTTAAAAACCTTGTTAAACTGATGGACTCCAGCAGGATAACAGCAGAAGGAAGGCACGGCGTGCTTTTGCCTTTGAGGCAAATAATATGGTTAAGTAATTTGCTGAGACTTCCACCCATAAAGAGTTTTTCAGGTTTTTTTTCTCACTTTTTACCTCCTCCTGCTTGTCCAAAAGTGCAGTTTCAAAGAAGAGCTAAGCAGCCCACTATGCAAACATTTTCTTTTTCTCGCAATGCAACCACCTCCCATGAAACATGACATTGCATCCACAACAGGCTGGCATTTCAAAGGGTTGTCCTTAACAGATTTTACTAACTGAATAATACAATCCTGAAATCCAGCTGAAACATGGCACTAATTCACTCCATGCACAAGGAAACCAATAACTGCAGCACAGAGATGAAGGTCTCTAATAATGCTCTAGAAAGAACAGGTGGTTTGAATTATTTCTTCAAAGAGGAACATTGCTCAAAAGCCCATCAGGTAAAGCTTTTCCTTTGCAAACCTGGGGCTAATCTTGCAGACCCTGAAAGCAATGCAAGTTTAAAGCACTGAAGGGCTGCATTATTCAGATTAATTTTCTTACCGTTTGTGGATTGATAATCCTCAGGTTTGTCAATGCCACTTTAAATGTTGCTATGAAAGTCTTTCTTCTGTGATTCACAATCACAACCCTGCAGTTATGGAGTTTGCCAGGCCTGCATTTCTGTTAAATAATAAGAAAACTCAATCTCATTCTGTTCATCCC